CCCCCCCCCCCCCCCCCCCCGGCAGTCATCGCTGCCACATCCATCGCCCCACTGGACCTAGTTAAAACTCGCCTGCAACATACCCCACATGCCACCCTCCGTGGCACGCTCCAGTCGACGGCAGCCAGCTGGCGCGCGGCCGGAGGCGGGCTCACCGGTGCGCGGCGCACTTTCTGGGCCGGCCTCGGGCCCACCCTCGCCCGAGATGTCCCCTTCTCCGGGATCTACTGGGTCGGATATGAGACCCTACGGCCGGTGCTGGTGGATCACCTTCTCAGCATTCGTCGGCCGGGGACCGACCCATTGGTCGGGCCGCTGTCGGACAATTCGGTGATCCTGCTGTCGGCCTTCGGGGCGGGTTTCGCCAGCGGTGCCACCGCTGCCCTGCTGACCACCCCCTTCGATGTGCTCAAGACTCGCATGCAGGTGGCTGGCGGCAGCCCGGCAGCCGGGTCGGGGGCGGCGGGTGCCTCTCGTCCCGGGGCCCTGGCCCTGGCCCGGTCAATCGTAGCCACCGAGGGTCCTGCTGCCCTGGCTGCCGGGTCCCTCCCTCGGGTGCTGCGCACGGCTCCGGCCTGCGCCATCATGATCGCCGCCTATGAGGCCGGCAAGCGCCTTTTCCCATCCTCCTAGAAGAATGGACGCTCCTCCCTCCCTCTTCTTGCCCCCTTCTCCCCTCCTAGCCTCACCTGCTCCTCGCATGCCCCCCTCCCCCTGTGGTGTCGCGTACATGCGTGCATACGATGGGTGATGCTCTTCGCCACCTTTCTTGCCCCCTTCCCTCCTGTCCTTGTGTACCTCCCCATTATCTCCCCTCTCTCCCCCCTCTCTCCCTCCCTCTCCCTCCCTCCCCCTCCCTCCTGTGGATCTTGTCATCAACTGATGTATCTCCTTCCTGGGGAGGAGGACTACTGCCTGCGATGCCCTGCATGGCAGTCCCTCGCAATACATTTGCACACCCCGCTTTTCCCCGTTTCTGCCAGCCTCTTCCTTCCTCTCTGTGCGTGCGCGTGTGCGTATGTGTGTGTGTGTGTGACGGTCCCCTACGCGTGTCAGTGCTGTTCCCTCTTGCCAGGGAACGAGGGGACTAAACCAAAGTGCACTCCGGCGAGACTCATAATTTCCACCTCTCTTTCATAATACAACTTGTGGCAGGCCCTGTGTTCATTTGGCGGTGGTGTTTGCGGCTGGTGGGACGCCCCCCCCCCCGCGCTCACCCACAAGGGCGCCCCTTCCAGGGGAATGGGGCCGGATCTCGGTGTTTTACCGTCAGATCACCAAGGGGGCAGCTCCCCAAGGTCAACGCCGTTGGACCGGGGCCGATACTGACATTGTAGCCCGATCGGCTTTCAACAGAAGAAGCAGGCACCGCGATCTACAATCCCATACCCCCAGGATGGGTCTACTATTCCAGACCTCCGGGCCTCGGTTCCATGGCGGACTAGATCCGCGCCGCCGGAGCGCAAATAGGTGTCGTATTCCTCCAAGCCAGCGACCACTTCGCCCGGCCAGTGCCCGGTCCTCGATGAGAGCGGGCAACTTCTTGGTGGTGGTGGTGGTGGTGGTATGTGGTAGCTGTTTCTTCCGGGCTCCTTTTCTTCGTGTGACTTTTCCCTGTGTGCCAGTCGGGTGTGGGCACCTCGTTGGTGGCCGGGGCCCGTGCCAGCCACACGTCCCTCACGGCGCGCAGGAGAGCGACAGATGCCCCCCCCTCCCCTCCCAGTGGAGGGGGCCTGGGCATGATCTACGATAGGTTTCCCCAGTTGACTGACTTGGCGGTGGGCGAGAGGGCAGGGGGGGGGGGGGGGGGGGGCGGGCGGCGGCGGACCATGCTTCGCGCGGTATCCCACCAGCGGGGGTGCCTTGCATGGGGATCTCCTGGTCCATTCTGGCCCGAGGCCAGGGAGTAAGATGTCCTCTCTGGGAGCCACTGCAGGACACACTTGGGAAAGGGAAGCACCATAGCTTGCGCTCGGGCGGCACTGGCACAGGCGGGCCCGGGGCCGCGGCATTCGCCTGGCATTCCGTGCGCGCTGGGACGAGGCCCCACGGGCCGGCCGGCCGGCCGGCCAGCGGATGGGCAAGGGGCCAGAGAAGGCTGGACACGACGTAGGGTTGGTTGCATTCCCTTTCCCTGTTCCCGGGTGGCAGGTCGCCCCCCATGTCCGCCCGCCGCCCGCCGCCCTCCCCCCCTTCACCCGCGGATGGATGGAGGAAATCCCCCGCCCCCCGCCCCCGGAGGGGCATCGGGGAAGATGACTGAACGGCGGGCTCGCGCCGGCGCCGCTGTTTTGAGACACTACGCCCAGCAGACCGATCGGCCATGCTTGGCAATTCCTCCTTCGCCTTTCCGCCTGCCTCCCCTCCCTTTCGCTGCCCTCCGCCCTCTCCTTCTGCCTTCCCTCTTGTCCTGTCCCCCCCCCCCCTCTTCCTGTAGTTCCCCTCCCCACCCCTCCCTCGCTGCCCCCACCCCTCGTCCCTCACCCCCGGAAGGGAAGGAAGCCCCAGGCACAGTCGCACGCACACATCCCCGGGGGGCGCTCCTCCCGCGCTCGCGCACCAGTTCAAGGCACCCCCCCTCTTCGCCTCCCCCCCCCCGCCAGTCAGAGAAGCATGGCCTCCCCACCGGTCTTCTCCTTTGAGGGAAGCCACCACTCGTCGGATGTGTCTCCGTCTGGGTCGGATTTCCTCGATGACTCCAGCGCCAGCCTCCTCCAGCGGCAGCAGTCGGCCGTATCACTGCCGGACCCGGGGCCATCGGGCGACCGGCGGAGTCCACTCCCCCCGCTGGCCTTGAGCGCGCGCCCGACGCGCATTCCCACCCCCCCGCCTCTCGGGGTGCGCGGCCACCAGAGATCCTCCTCCCATCCCTTCCCCGGCCAGCCGGTGGCCTTCGACGCGGATGGCAGCGACTCGGAATATGACGACCTAGCTGACGTCCTTTTAGATGCCGCCCCCGACTCGGAGCCTCCTCCGGTGCCGGCGGCCTCGACGCCGGGGCAATTCCTTCGGCCCTTCGCCGGGCAGGCCCCCTGGCGCCTGGCGCTGCCGGGGCACCAGCAATCGGACGCCCTCTCTCGGGGGTATATCGCCGGGCGCCCGGGTGTCGGGGTTCCCCGGGCCACGGCCACCGCCGGGAATGCCGGCTCCGGCGGTGCCCCACGCGCGCGCTTTGCCCTCCACTTCCTCGAGCGCGAGATGATGGGCCTGGCGCCGTTGGAGCAGCAGCAGCAGCACCACCACCTGACCGACAGCGAGCTCACCACCACCGGGGGCGGGCATAGCTCGGCCTTCCCCTCGGACGCGGCATCCGGCTCGGACTTTGACGATGACCCGGAGTCCGGGCTCCGGGCCCCGGGCATCGGGGGGCCCGCCGCCCCGGCTCCCCACCTGGCCAGCAGCCAGCCCGTGTCGGCGGTCTTCTTCACAGCGCATTCATACACCCTGAGTGACTCGCCGCACAGCCTCTACTCGGTGACGGTGCACCCGGCGGCCGGGCTCAGCTTGACAACTCCCTTCAATACGCAGAGCTTGGCCCCAGCCCCGGCGACCACGCTCAACAATCGCGGAACCGTCTATGATCCCTTTCTCTTCGACCTGGCCTCGGTGTCACTCAAGTCGGTGGCGGTGCGCGAGACCCCTCCATTCCCCCCTTCCCTCGTCCTAGGGTCCTCTAGTGTCCCTCCTGGCACTTCTCTCTCTCTCTCTCCCTCCCCTCTGATGGCTGACCCCCCACTCCGCCTCCAATGTCCATCCTGGCCCCCCTCCGTCAATCTCTCTCTCTCTCTCTCTCTCACGCGCACAACTCCTTGCGCGCAGCAACAAATGTGCCTGCGCGACTCTGAAGTCTTTCGCCAGATCACCCGCGAGGAGTTCCTACTCGGCATTAATGGTCGAGAGAAGCACCGCTGCGTGAATCTCATTCGCATGACTGATCACTTCAATGATGTACGCTTTCCTCCTCCCCCCT